TCACAGCCAGATAATGAAATTATTTTACAAATAATTTCCGTTATTGGCTGCTTCGCATCCAATAACTATATATTATTTCGCAATTAATTTTTTTTGCAATTGTTGTTTGCAACAATGCCAATTATGATAAATATAATTGTGCAATAATTTAATTGCAATTTAATTTTCGGTACCCCTGATTTTGAGTGTCGCTTTTATATGAAAGGAATAAGAGCTTTAATACAATTCAGAAAAATCCGATCCAGAATAATCGATTGATGATCTTTATAGCATGTCTTTTATTGATATAAGATAATTTTAATACTCTTATTGTTTTTCATTGTGTATAAGCATTCTATATGTTGTACTGGTTATTCATAAAATTACAGATATAAAATTTATAATCAAATATGCATTACTCCAACTTTAGTGTTGAACAAGCTATGCTGACATGACGATAAGGTTAATACTTTGTCATTTTGTGTCCCATAGAGTAGTAGGACATCGGAAATTTAACGTTAACAGCCGAAAAAAATATCCACTTAAGGCATTTTAGATTTACATAGCCTTATAACTATATAAAAATAACTATAAAATCGACAATCAAAAATGGTTCTTTCGTAAGAAATGAAAAAATGTCAAAACATATCCCATCAGAATTACTTAATTTGGTATTTTTAGAAATCTACAATGATCGTTTCTTACTTTACAATCTAAAAATTCATTATTTATACAATTGTCTATTAGTAAATCGTTTTTGGTGTAAAAATGTGGTTTCTCTACTTTGGTCTCTTGTCTTCGCTTTTAGTTTGAAAAAAAAATCTTCGAAAACTCGCGCAGTGATTATTGATACTTGTCTTAAATTTATTAATAAAGAGCAACAAACAGATTTATTAAAGTCTGGAATTCATGTTGATGTAGCTCCTTCATTATTTAAATATCCATCATTCATTAAAGACATTAAATTTGAGGCCTTATTGTTAAATGTAAGAGACTGGATTTTTCTTAGGCATCCTTCTGAAGTTGATCGTAATTTGATTTTAAGAATCTTGCTGGAAGTGTTGGCTGAATATGGCTCTAATTTAGATTGTTTTGTGTCGGACCATCTTTCCTTGGATCTTTCTAGTATAGCAATAAGAGAAAGGTTGCCATTGAACGAACTAACAATATTGGGAAATAAAAATATTAAAAATATATTTAGTCATGTGAATGAGTTGTGGATAGGTGGTAGATCCCTGGAAAACCCATTCATTAGCGTGATTACCAATATTTGTCATAATGTGGTTCGTATTTATATAATACTTATAATTACATATTTACATTTTTTATGTTAAAAAAAAAAAAATTTCTTTTACAGGAAACTATGATCATATCGTTTGAACCCTTTGATTCATTCTCGCCTCGAGATGTACCACCTGAAAATATCTCAAAATTAATCTCTTCACAAAAAAATCTCAGATCATTTACTTTGATCTCATATAAAGGTACATCTTATTCTTTTCTTTGCAAAAAGATTTTCCAAGGTATACGATACGGGTCAAGAGTCTTTCTCCAGTCCATATAATAATATCAAACGCTTGAAAAAAGGCCTCTACATAGCATTTGTTTGAACCTTTTGCGCTCATTGTAATCAGTTTAAAGATAAAGACTAGGCTTTTTTTTTTAATCGTATAAACTTTTTTTTTATTTATCTAATCATATAAGCTTTTTTGTTTTCTTTATAATAAACTTCTTTTTGCCGATAATTTTGACGTCAAAATCAGTAAATTATCACATTTACAAGCTTCGGCAAAAATTGCAATTAATTGTTTAATTATGACTGCGCCACCAATCAATCAATTAATTATTGTTAGTACTAAATAATTGAAATCTCTGCAAACTTCATCGTAGCCAATGTCTTCCCATAATTTAACAAAAAGGTCAAGCTTAAGTAAGATGAAATTATTGATGTTTTCAAAAGAGATGTGAGCTGCTCCATCGTAACCATCTCGGCTAGAATAAAATGGCCCTTTGTATGTACGCCAGTGGATTTAGGAGGAGGAAGGAATGAATTTATATTCTGATATGATTTTTTTCGTTTAATGTTATAACTTTTTCTTCTTCATCTGCTTCGAATTTTTGAGCGAAAATTAGAGTCCCTTAAATGTATTTCCTCTTCTACGAAAAGCTTTGAACTTGTTCCGAGCGTGAAAAAAAACTCATTAAGTCAAATATTTATTAAAAAAAAAAAATCTTTGGAGCGAAAATTTAAAAAAAAATAAAAACAAGTCGGTCAAGAATTTATTATGGCTTCGATAGTTACGAATGAGATTAGACTTATACGAAAAATCGCGTAATTATTGCAGTCTTTTTAAACGAAATAGGTGCCACTATTTTCCGTAAAAGATTTTATAAAAACCGAAAGTTCATTAAGTGTCTTTTTTTTTTAACTATCACTTTTCTTTTAATGTAGCTTTTTTGGAACATAGCGGAGGACTTGCAATGAACATTTAAGTACTATGTAATTAGCTGTATAAAATGCCCTTTGATAGTAAATCCACGATGTACTATACTCAGACGCGTCATAGGACTTCCTCTATTGAATTGAATTTTATCCACGTTTTTTGAACCATAAAAATGACGATCACATATGCTGATGTATAAACTGATCTGTTTTCAAAAATAAACACCAGGTCTCCCTTCCGAATGTGTCTTGATTAATTTTTTTTTTTTTTTTTTCGTAGATTTCGTTCAAAGTAATTCAAAGTAGTGTTTTAATTCGTGAAAAAAATAAAAATAAAATAGTTCTCAGGTGACGAAACCATAAAGTGTATGTTTACAAAGATCTTAAGGATGTTTTTTTACGTATCTATTAAACCTGATCTAATTTGCTGATTTGGAATCTTTGATAGTCTGTCTGTTACCTCCTGTATGTTGGATATTTTGATGATTCGATATTAAGTTTAATTTTGTCAGGTTCCAAGTATTTGTTTTTGATTTCACTATCATTTTTTTGATTCGTTTCCTCAAGTTAATGACCAATTTGTTACTAATAGCAGTTGCTGTAGGTCGTTTATTCTGATCATGATCCACGCATATTTTGGCTAATTTAGCATAAAACAATCAGATATTCTCTTATCAAATCCTGTTCCCTCATTGTCGAATTTCTAATCAAACATTCTTTAGTTGATATCTTGGACATGATAGCTCCGAAGACGTAACGTAGATATCAGCTACTTGCGTGGAAAGGTAACCCACAATTGTTGTGTGATTTATGGCATCTATCAACGGTTTAAATACAAAAACGCCATCTCTGGATCTAATAACTTAGCTTCGTTATTATAAGCTTAATCTATCGATTCTAATAATTTAATTTAATAGTTGAAATTAATGTTTTTTTTTTTGATTTTTTTTTTTTACGATTATATTTACCCCTATCTATTGCTAAATTCGTTTTTAGTTTGAATTTTTCAGAAGCTTGAGAACCTTCAAAACCAGTTCAGTGGTTTGAGAACACCAAGGATTAATTTGAAGCATATGTCCCATATTAGACAATGTTGAAAGTTCCAATACGTTCTATGTAGATTATATTTCTAGAACGTAAATCTTGATGAATTAATTCTCGTGAATGGATTACTTCAAATATGAAACGACTCAATACAACAGATTTATTTTCCATTTCATTGGTTCCATAAACCGAAGACTTTAACGCAAAGAGTCTTTACTTAAAATATTCCAAAACCATAATATAGTCTTTATAAATATCTTCTCTTGATATTTTATAGTATTTTAAGAAAGATATCAACTATTGCCTCATTGACAAATTCTTAATTATATTAATATTATTTCATTGACAAATTTTTTGATTATATTAATATTACCTCATTGAAAAATTCTTGATTATATTTATTCGAATCAAAATAAATTTAATTGTTATACTTGTTAAAGATTTCAGGCAATACAGTGTAAATTTATCTTTTTCTATCCTGTGTATTTTAAATTCGCTTGAAGAATCCATTTAATATATTTTTTTTTTCAAATTATTATAAATGTTATACGAAATTTGTCTAATGATTGGCCCGTAACAGTAATCGTCCTGATACCGAAATTTAATTTATTTCAGTATTTGATGATTGACCAGAATTATGTAATAATTAAGCAAACCGGTAGGTTCTAATTTTTAACCGCCCAACCCTATTACTAACTTGGATCGGTTAAGCACTAACCGAGTCAAGCCACCACACCCACGATTATAACAAAATTTTTTGGTCTTGAAGAAAAGACTCAATTCTCACCGATGTTAAATAAAAAAATGTTAGGGTTATTTGTTCTTTACCTATCATGCTAAACTATGTGTGCAAACCTTTGAGGGGATTCTCAAATTTTAGATTCAGTTCTCAACCTACGATTCAACTTACGACTTTGGATGGAAATCATTTAGAATAATATTTCCATTTAAAATAATACGTATTTCCATTTCATAAAAGTAGATTACAAATAAATTCATCTATTTCCATCATTATATTATAATTTATTATATTAAGATATCAGAAAATATATATAGCTTCATAAAACATCTATCAAAATTAATCCTGTTTTTAATTTCAGCGCGGCTATGCGCAGCTACCTAATTTTTAATATATACATAATACATAATTTCTTCCACCACCGTAGAAGTGAGCAAGATCTGTGTATCATATGATAAAAGCGATCCAATTACACGCACGAAAATGACTAGGTACACATATAAGTATACGTACTTATTGAACCCACACATTATCAAAAAGTAATGGAATTGATTTTCTAAATATTATTAGGTTATGATAAAACATTACAGCATCCACCTATCAGTACCAATATTCTATTTCTTGAATTAAATTCTTATCAAACTACTAACCAAAAAACTACATACAATTATAATACCGGTAATTACGTTCACCAATTTTTCCAATCTAGTTCCATCACTAAGTATTGGAGGTAATTTTTCTTTTTTTTCAGGTAAAAACAACGTTTTATTTTCTTTATCAGGAGTATTCCAAACAGTCAAAGGCCCAACAACACCAAATACAGTTTCCATCAGATTATTTACCATAGCATTTGATTCGACTCGAATATAAAATAATGACATATTTTTAATCTTCTTCTCACCCATATCTATGTTAGAAATTCCACCTATTCCATTACCAAGTGAATTATTACTATCTGAATTCTCTAGTAATGGAACTGTCCAAAGATAAGAATTCGTTTTAACATCTGACGCAATAGGAATTGACCATTTGGATGTGACCTTTTGAGAATACTCATTTCCAGAAGATTTTGGATCATTATGTAATGTTATTATAAAGTTTGTCGGTGGTGTGATTAAATTACAGGAACTTTTAAATGATTCATCATTAGAAGACGCTGAAGATTGAGGACTAAGAATAGTCCAACTTATATAAATTTTATAAAATGGAATTAATACTGTGTTCGCAGGTGGTGTATTGATTTCTATACAATATTTTTCGTATGATGACCAAGGAGTATGAATGTCAAATGAATCATCGCCATTGTTTTTCATTAATTGTTTTAAATTTTTAGGAGTGAAACGTGACGTATCCATTAATCCATTATCGTGTTTTGCGATAATTACTTGTGAAAAAAGTATTAAAACGCAAATTAGAGTTAATAACTTAAAGGTAATAATAGATTTAATTTTCTTCATACTGTATAAAAATGTAAGGATAAGATTGTTTTATTTGCGAACAAAAGAAGTTGTAGATATTTATTATTGATGCTTAAATAAATAAATCAATTCATCAAAGATAAATCAGATCAATCATTTATTTTTAATTTTTTCGAAATGAATTTCCGAATTACACTGTTATATTAAACATTGGAAGCATTATTTGAAGAATTGAAAGCATATTTCTTAATAAAATCAATTGCTCAATTGACTTTTAATGTCATTTGACGTACAATTAATAGTACTGCGCTAAGGGCTCGGAAAGCAAATCAAACCTATAGACCTTATTTTATAATCGAGATAATTTACATAATTAAGGGTGTTCTCAATCACCTTAATCAACCCGTCGGAACGGGTCTGAGGGTAAAATTTTTATTAATAAAAAAAAGTTTAACGAATCAATTGTATTGATTATTCCAATGAATAAAACACGTAACAAAAGTTCAATACGTCAGAAAGAAAATTTTATTAGTGGAAATTCGTTTGACCGACCAAGGGTATTTATCATTCCAACCAACAAGAGATAGAGGCCCAGACGTCCTTTTTTTATCATAGAGTTGCGTTTATAGGTCGAAATTTTTCATTGATTAGAAAAAATAATTGTTCAAGTACTTCACTCTTTTACATTATTATCGTTAGGCAAGACCAGGTTCTGTGTTTTACATTACACCTCCCCCTCCTTGGCGTTCCCCCTCTCCCTCATAGTAAAAAAATTATCTTTACAAATTTGTCATGTGTATAACTATTATAACCAATCTATTATTACCTATTATATCTATGAAGATCATTTACAATATATCTACTCCAATAGCAAAAAATACTAGCAGTTTTTTATTTAAAGCCAAAAAAAAAGACTTCATTTTGGTAGATTTGAACCCAATTCATGAAATTTAAAAAGACTTTGCTAGCAGCTTTTAAACTCAATCCATTAAAATTAAAAGAAAAATTTTTATTAGTAATAGTTTTAACCAAATCTACTTAAAAAAAAAAATTTATCTTCACAAATTTGTCATATATTCTTAACTTGTATATAACTATTATAATCAACCTATTACCTGATTATTTCCATAAAGATCATTTACAACATATCCACTCCAATAGCAAAAATATTAGCAGTTTTTATTTAGAGTAAAAAAAAAAAACTTCATTTTAATAAATTTAAACCCAATCTACTAAAACTTAAGAAGACTTCACTAATAGCTTTTAAACTAAATCCATTAAAATTAAAAAGAAAATTTTCATTAGTAGTAGTTTTAAACCAAATCTACTTAAAAAAAAACATATTTTCTTCACAAATTTGTCATGTGCTCTATCTAGTAAATAACTATTATAAGCAATCTATTACATTGTTATGTTTATAGAGATCATTTACAATTTGTTTACTCTAATAGCAAAAAATACTAGAGTTAAAAAAAAAAATTTTATTTTGATAGTTTTGAACTCAATCTACTAAAACTTAAAAAGACTTCACTAATAGCTTTGAATTCAATCTATTAAAATTAAAAAGAAAAACTTTATTAGTAGTAGTTTTGAACCAAATCTACTTAATAAAAAAAAAATTATTTTCACAAATCTGTTATGCACTCCTACTTGCACATAACTATTATAACCAATCTATTACTCTATTATGTCTGTAGAATTTATTTACAGTTCATAGTATATCTACTCCAATAGCAAAAATATTAGCAACCTTTTAATTAGAGTTAAAAAAAACTTACTTTGGTAGTTTTGAACCCAATCTACTAAAACTTAAGAAAACTTTGCTAGTAGCTTTTGAACTTAATCTATTAAAATTAAAAAGAAAACTTTTATTAGTAGTAGTTTTGAACCAAATCTACTTAAAAAAAAAACTTGAATTACCTTCACAAATTTGTTATGCACTTCTACTTTGTACATAACTATTGTAACCAATCTATTACTTTGTTATATTTATAGAGATCATTTACAATATATCTACTCTAATAGCAAAAAATACTAAAATCAAAAAAAAAAGATTTTATTTTGATAGTTTTAAACCCAACTCACTAAAACTTAAAAAGACTTTGCTAATAGTTTTGAATTCAATTATTAAAATTAAAAAAAAAAACTTTATTAGTAGTAGTTTTGAACCAAATCTATTTAATAAAAAAAAAATTATTTTTATAAATCTGTTATATACTCCTACTTGTATATAGCTATTGTAACCAACCTATTACTCTGTTATATTTGTAGAATTTATTTACAGTTCATATCATATCCACTTCAATAACAAAAATATTAGCAGCCTTTTAATTAGAGTCAAAAAAAAAAAAGATTTTACTTTGGTAGTTTTAAACCCAACCCACTGAAATTTAAAAAAACTTTGCTAGTAGCCTTTGAACTCAATTTATTAAAATTAAAAAAAAAACTTTTATTAGTAGTAGTTTTGGTCCAAATCTACTTAAAAAAAAAAACTTGAATTATCTTTACAAATTTGGTATACATCTCTACCCTGCTTATAACTATTGTAACCAATCTATTATCTATTATATCTGTAGAAATCATTAACATATTTACTTTAACCACAAAAAATACTAGCAGTTTTTTTAACTAGAGCCAAAAAAAAGTATACTTCACTTTGGTAGTTTTAAACCCAACCTACTAGAATTTAAAACTTTGCTAATAGCAGTAGCTTTTGAACCAAATCTACTTAATTATTTTTACAAATCTGTTGTGCACCCCTACCCTGTATATAACTATCATAACTAATTTCTTGTTATATTTATAAAATCAATTCACAATACTAGTTCTATGAAATACAGTAATTAGTAGCTTTTAACCAAGTTTACTAAACTTAAAAAAAGTAGTCATCACTTATAATTACTGAACTTAACCCATCTGAATTTAACATCAAGGCAAATTTTTTTTAATTAGCTAAAAAACTGAAGTTTTAAATTTAAAGATAGTTTATAAAAAAAAATTTAATATTGTAAAATAGTTACTATATTGTTATTATTATAAGAATTTTGAAAATTATTTTCAAAATATTCTTGTTGATCTGAAAATCTTAATTTTCTATTTTTAGATTTCTCTGTCTTTTTAGTTTTTTATACTTTAGAAATTTTTTATTACAAAACTTGATCTTGTGATTTATAGTAAATCTTCTTATCAAATATATTTATTAGAAGATCAAAAAAAACAAATTTTCAAAGAAATGTAAAAATGAGCTGTTTCTATTGCCTGCACCCTATATAAGGTCTCAATTTTAGCTTTTGTAAGGTTTTTGGGGGTTCTAAACATTTTTACTTAGAATACCTAATCTTGTTATATTTTTAAAATATAGGCACCCGGTGATAGTCACAGCCGGTTATAGTTAGTGGTATTCTGCAGATCCAATCTGAGATCTGGATCTGATTTCGATTTGTACTCATCAGATTTCAAAAATCAAAGATCCAGATTCAATCTGTCAAATTTAGATCTATACAAAGATCTGATCAAATAATATCTGTTATAATGATACCATATTCTAATTTATTAACCATGTAGATATATGAGTACTATCAAGGGAAAATCTGTCATTAGAATTTCAAGTTTATTGCTTAGTAGACTCAATCTATTTAATTTTTGTTAGAGATTTTGACTGGTACAAATATAATTGAAAACCTGATAACAGGTTTTCCCTTTCTATATATAACTATAAGAGACAGAATCTTTTTAAATGATACTAAAATAGATGTTTCAATTCTTCATATAATCATGGCTAATTTTTTATTTCTATATTTTTATTACAAACTAGTTTGATAAAACAGAACTAGCTATTGTTACTATCTTGTCACTTTTTTTTAAAGAAATGCTAACTTGGGCTTGGTTTGATATAATTGAAGTAATTGGTCTTGGTTTGATGTAATTGGGCCTAGGCTTGGTTTGATGTAATTAAGCTTGGGCTTGGTATGATGTAAAAACTCTATTAAAGAAGTCTTTAGACATTCGAAATACTATTGCAATACCAAAAATGAAAATTCTGAAATTTAGCTATAAAAGATAAGCCAAAGAAGTGATAACAACATATGTTATAAAAAACTGAACTGGATAAGTGGTGATAATAAGGCAAAAGGATCAATACAGAAGCAAGTATATGGTTTTGTTGAGTACTATACAAGTGCCAGTATATGTACTATTAAATATAGTGTCTATGCCTATATTTGGCACTATACTTAATAGGCACATATCAACACTACAGAGTCTTGGTCTTGTTAAGTATAATCATCGATCATTGATCAAATCACAAAGCCACAATTTAATCAATTATGTATAAAATGGGTGCTGGTCAAAATCCCGACAAACAGAATCCCGACAGGTCATAATCCCGACAAAAAAAATCCCGACAGTAAAAATCCCGACAAATCCCGATGACTAAAAATTATTAAGTTCATTTAAGTTAGGGTAGGGTTAGGTGAGTGCATAATTTAGGGTTAGGGTTTAGGCGATTATATAGCAAGATTGCTCAAATGAACACTTTTTTTGATTGTCGGGATCTGTCGGGATTTTTGTTTGTCGGGATTTTTTTGTCGGGATTATGACCTGTCGGGATTTTGTTTGTCGGGATTTTGACCCAAACCCGTATAAAATAAGGTCTTGCACTTGCTCTCAGTTATTTTTCAAATAAACATATATATATATATATATATATATATATATATATATATTTTTATCAATCTAATTTATAAATAAAAACATAATGAATATAAATTTTAAGCTTTAATAAGCTTCCCACCTTCTTGCTCTAAACTATCAATAATGTCAGTAATATTTGATGAAGAACTGGCAAATTTCTACTTGGATGAATTAAGTTCAGATAAGTCATTTTAAGGTGAATTATACTTAGATCCAAATTTAGAAGTCCATTTGAATGTGCCAAA